TCCTTCATGTTTCCAGATTGAGTACTAATCTCTTATCTGCTAGTAGTTTGATTAAAAACCTGAACTGTTCAGTAATTTTTTCTCTTGGTCATTGTATCTTGCTGGATCTGGATTCAAAGAGGACGATTGGGAGTGGTCCTGAAGTGAATGGAATCTACCTCCTAGATGTACTTCCTCCTCATCAAAGTCATCATGTCAGCAAGGATAGTGAGTCAGGGTCTGTGAGTCAGATTATGCTTTGGCATAATCGTTTAGGTCATTTGCCTTTTTCTTCTTTGAGTCTTTTGTTTCCAAAGCTATTTAAGTCTGTTAGTTTGTCAAGTCTGGAGTGTGAAGGTTGTCAACTTGGAAAGAATTGTAGACATTCCTTTAAAGCTAGTAATAAAAGATGCTTATCTCCTTTTGATGTTATTCATTCTGATGTGTGAGGACCTTATCATGTTCCTTCTATGGGTGGTTATCGATATTTTCTCTTATTTGTGGATGATTTCTCTCAATATTATTGGATTTACTTGATGAGATCCCGAGATGAGGTACTATCATTGGTAAGGCAATTTCATCAGATGGAGCTAACACAATTTGGAACACGAATAAAGGTGTTCAGATCAGACAATGCTAGGGAATATTTTGAAAAACACCTTGCTTCATATATGTTAGAATATGGTGTTGTCCATCAGAGTAGTTGTTCCTACAGTCCACAGTAGAATGGTGTTGCAAAAAGGAAGAACAAACACATTGTTGAGATTGCAAGAAGCATGATGATCACATCTACAGTTCCAGTTTGGTTTTGTGGTGATGAAGTTCTTACAGCAGTATTTTTGATTAACAGGGTGCCCTCCCGTATTCTTGGATTCAACACCCCATTCAACCTCCTTTTTCCCAAGGAGGAGATGTTCCATATTCCTCTTAGAGTGTTTGGGTGTGTTTGCTTTGCACATATTCTTGGTCCTCACCGTTCAAAGCTTGATCCAAAGGCAAAGAAGTGTGTCTTCCTTGGATATGCAGAAAATTAGAAAGGGTACTACTGCTATGATCCAGTCTCTGGGAGTCGGTATGTTACTATGGATGTCACTTTTTTTGAGTCCACATACTTCTTCTCGAAGTATCCTTCTCAGGGGGAGTATTTTGGGGAAGTGAGTGAGCAGTCTGTCCCTCTTCCAGTTCCAGTTCCTGTGTCCACTCCTGTGCCTGATCCTCCTATGTCACCTACCTTACCACCTCCCTTGTGTCCTGCTACTCAGCGTTACTCATGACAGAGACTTCACAGGGAGGTTGATTCCACTGCAGTAGAACTCACATCACTTCTTATCGGTTCCTTGGAGACTCCAGATTCAGCTGATACAAATTCAGGTATTCCTCTTGATCCCTCTACTGTTTCAGTTCCCATTGATTCTACTAACCCCATTACAGATAGCCCGGGTCTTCCTATTGCTCTTAGAAAAGGGAAGAGAAAGTGTACTGCTCATCGTATTTCACAGTACCTATCCTATAGTGGACTTTCTCTTTCCTACCCTACTTTTCTTTCCTTTCTTGACTCTGTGTCTATACCCAAGGGTGTCAGTGAGGCTCTCTTCAAACCTGAGTGGAAGACAACTATGCAGGAAGAAATGGAAACTTTAATTAAGAATCAGACATGGGAGATTGTGGACCTACCAGAGGGCAAGGAGTCTGTTGGATGCAGATGGGTTTACACAATCAAATATAAGGCAGATGAAAGTATAGAAAGGTATAAGGCCAGAGTTGTTGCAAAAGGGTACACACAGGCCTATGGCATTGATTACTTAGAGACCTTTGCACCAGTTGCAAAGATGACCTCTGTTCGGATACTTCCTTCTCTTGCTGCCACATTCTCTTGGCCCCTGTTTCAACTTGATGTGAAGAATGCTTTCCTAAATGGAGATCTGCAAGAAGAAGTGTATATGGATCTTCCTGCTGGTTTCTATAGTGGTGCTGAAAAGGGGAAGGTATGCAGACTTAAGAAGTCACTTTATGGCTTAAAGCAGTCTCCCAAAGCATGGTTTGGCAGGTTCAGGAAAGCCTTGGTTGCTTTTGGTTACACTCAAGACTCAATCTGACCATACCTTGTTTGTGAAGCGGAGGGGATCCTTGGTGTCAGTCCTAATTGTTTATGTGGATGATATTGTTGTCACAGGGAATGACCTAAGTGAGATTGATTATCTGAAGAAGAATCTACACAGAGAATTTGAAATTAAGGATCTTGGAGAACTTAGATACTTCTTAGGCATTGAAGTTGCAAGATTAAAACATGGAATTTTTATCTCTCAGAGGGAGTATGTCTTGGATCTTCTACAAGAAACAGGGAAGCTTGGAACAAAGGCAATCAATACTTCTATTGACCAGAATCACAGAATTAATGCATCAGAAGGTGAGCCAATAAATGACATTGGGAGATATCAGAGACTTGTGGGGTGGCTGCTGTACTTGTGTATGACAAGACCAGACATTTCCTATGCAGTAAGTGTGGTAAGTCAATATATGCATGCTTCACGAGTCCAGCATTGGGAGGCTGTTGATAGGATTCTTGCTTATTTGAAGGGAAACCCGGGCAAAGGCATATTGTTTGCTGATCATGGACAGTTGAAACTAGAGGCTTATACAGATGCAGATTGGGTAGGATGCCTTGATGACAGGAGATCTACTTCAGGAGTAAGCACCCTTGTTGGGGGTAACCTTGTCTCGTGGAAGAGTAAGAAACAAAGAGTGGTGGCAAGATCAAGTGCTGAAGCTGAATACAGGGCCATGGCACATGGAGTTTCAGAACTTCTTTGGATCCGTTCCCTGTTAGGAGAGATTGGTGTACAGCCAGAAGAACCTATGATTCTGTACTGTGATAACTAGGCAGCAATCAACATTGCCCATAACCTAGTTCAGCATGACCGGACAAAGCACATTGAAGTGGATAGACATTTCATCAGAGAAAGGGTGACTTCTGGGGAAGTTTTTCTCCCATACATTGCTTCTGATCTGCAGCTTGCTGATGTTCTCACAAAAGGTGTTGCAAGGAGCAAACTGGAGCATGATCTACGCAAGTTGGGAATATGTGACATTTACTCCCAACTTGAGGGGGAGTGTTGAGTTGGGCCGATTTCTATTATTGGGCCCAGTTATTTAGTTCTTATATTTTTAAGTTGTTAAGTTAGGAAGTTGTTGGGCTTTAGGCCCATTAGCTTATGTTTTTAAGTTGTGATTATTCAACTACTTTAGTAGCCGCCCTACTAAGGGCATTCTTGTAATCTCTTATTCTTTTAAGTTAAGTATAAAATATAATGAGGGGTTGCTGGCCATAACTAATTCAATTCTGGTTGACATCCTACTCTTCCTTTCTTCTCTACTGCTGAAACTCTTCATCTTCTTCTTCTTTCTCTTCACAAGGATCTCATCTAGATTTCCAAACAGTGATTTCTACTTGCCTAAACCCATTTTGTTATTCAAATTCTATCCATTTTGATCCATAAATAAAGTTTTTCTTTTTATTGGATGCTTGTTGGGGTGATTATGGTCGGATCTGGCCTAACTATTTTATATATAAAATATTACCTATAATATTTTATGGTCAGGTCAGGCCTAATTTTTTTAATAAATTATTTTGATTTTCTGAAAAATCAAGATAAGGCATATACGCATACATTTTATTTTTTCCGTCATTTTTCAACAGTTACTGATTGTGTCCCAATCTCTCACTCTTCATGTAAACCCTTAAAGTAAAGTTTTTTATGTTTATACTCATATATTCCTTGTACTTGCTGTTATTAAATATATTTTTTAGGATTTATTTGAGTTTCATAGCTTATYCATGCATTCTTGGTTTTTGTTTGTATCTATGTGTATCCAAAGCGTATCCCGATGTCTCTTAAAATTGTCTTTCTGATAYGCTTTGTGTTTCCGATACTTTAAACCTTGCTATCTCTTGGACTATTCCCCGGAGGTAAGCCTAAATAACTCATAGGACACTAAGAAACCACACATCCTAAAACTTGGCCCTTCCATTATTTCCCTCTCTTCCATATTCAGACCCATAATACAACTCTTTTCAATGTTGATTTTTCAAGTTGGAATCTTTTCAAAGCTACAACTTGTTTCAAATTCCTAACCCAATTCAGTACACCTCCTTCACAAAAAAGTATCATATCATAAGCAAATTGCAAGTAGGTAATTGGTACTTCATCCTTTCCTTACTCTCCACTCCCTTACCAACCCTGTAGAATCAGCCTTCAAAATTAATCTCCCAAGCACATTGGCAATTAGAGTAAAAAGGAAAGGCAAAAGAAGGTCTCCTTGCTATAAACATCTGAGGGCTGAAAAGTGATCTACCACTATCCCATTCACCGGGATCGAGTAATGGAAAGTCCTAAGACACTCCAAAATCCAATTCGACCACCGTGCTCCAAATCCTAAGTTTTTCATAACTTCCAATAGGAAACCCCAGCCTACCAAGTCATAGCCAATCATCCACTGCTAACAATAAAATCCATGAATCATTTGTAGGAATTCAACAATAATCATAATATTTTCGAAAAAAAGGGATTCAAGCATAAGATTTAAATTGTGAATTATGACAACATTGCTTTGAAAATCAAAATATTACCAAACGTCAACGTGACCTATGCTATTACTTGAATTTTAATTGGTGCTAAAAGAGACCAACTTTACATTCAAATATGCAGCCTAGAGTTGATTACTTATATATATAAGTTTGTAATGTATCATACACCTTGTCCAGCCATGTCGTTGCTGTATCTGGATAACATAGACTACATGTGTAGTCAAAATGAGATAAACTAGTTAATAACGAAACAATGAGGAAGAAAATTCCAATGATACATTTTAAACATACATGCTTTATGTTACTTAAACAAATTTAGAATCCCTTTTATCAGCTTATCAATAATAATACATCTTAATTGTGTTATCTTGTGTGAAGCTTTTTTTTTTATTTTAAATTATTTTGATTCTTTAAATCATACTGATTCTTTCTTCAGGACCTTGAGAAGCATGCGAGTTTGGATGCTGTGAAGGAATGGAAAAAACTCCTTGTGAGTACAGATTTTTTTTTTCTTGTGTTGCTGGTGACCATATGGATTTGTATCTTTGAATTTGTTTCATTTTCGTGGAAATTTGGTTGTGCAAAGTAACAGGAAAGGTAAAATTTCTTCTTTCTGTGATTAAGGATGTCATATACATCATGGTCTTCACTAAGAAAAGACCATCACCAAAATGGTATTACTAGCTATCTTCGGTCATGGGAGTGGTGGACTGGATGTGGACATAACCTTTGGTTTTCACTTTTAACTAGTATATTTTTTCCTGTCATAGCATATTTTGTTTTCTGTTGTTTTTCTTGTGATCTCTTTCTCTGTCTCAAACAAGAAATGCAATCTGTCTACAGGATGCAGTCCTTCCTATGTCAGCTGCTGCAATGGCTCTACCACCTTTATCTATTCGAGGTGATTGGGGTATTCTTTCCACAGCGGCTGCTAGATATGCTCCTTCACTCGTAAAATCCTTTATGCAAATGGGACCTCAAGGAGCTCTCGGTGCCACTAAACTTCTCAGACCCTTCTCAGAGATAATGGATTCATTGGAATTGAAAGACCCCTTTATACGGAACTGGATGGACCTTTTGTGCTTCTTACTTGCAGGGGTGAAATCTAATGGTATACTATCAGCAGAGATGGTAAGATATGTTTTAACTTTAGAAATTTTTGTTTCGAGTTAGTTTTGAAATTTTTATTTGGAACAGTATAATCTTCTTATTCAGATGTTTATTTTTTGTTGTTGTATTGAAGAAAAAGGAAAAAAATAAAACGGAAGGAACATACTTTATGATTTTCTTGACTTCAAATTATATACTAGCGGGGACCCGTGCGATGCATGGAATTTATCAAGGAAAGTGAAATAACCAATAATTATAACTAAGGAAAAGAATGCAATGTTGTTTAAAATAATTAAATCTTTATTTTAATAATTTATTACAAAAATGTTTTAGTAATTTAGTAATCTAGATTAATTATATTAATATTTTTAGCAAAAAATAATAATTATTGCTAATTGCTTTATAACATAATTATTTTTTCCACATTATTTGTTAGTGTTCTATTTCATTTCATTTTACTTTATTAATGATTAAATGTTTCATTTTTTTGTAAATGTCACTTAAATATTTAAAATAATTAAATATCAGTAAATATATAAAATTAGGCTATAGTCATAATTAAATTAATCTTTAGTTAACTTTTTACTCGTTAACTAAATTAATCTAAGCTCAAATTCAGGGTTTAAGACTTTGTATTAGGCTTGGATTGATCCTCATCCTGACCCAACCGACCCAAGTTGCATGCATCTTAACATTCATAATTGGACTGGACCAAAGTCACCAAACCAAGTACACCCATGCATGCATTATTTTTAACTATTTTTAGATAATTTGAAACCAAAGGAACTATGAGGGATGGGCCACCCACATTGTGTAGCTTGATGAACCAAAAAATTAAAAATTTTGGGCTCAATTTTGATAGTGTATTAGCAGTTTTTAAGATTGCTTGGCCTAGCCCAGCCCACACCTCAAGTGTAATAATATTTGCATAGGCTTATAAGATTGCCCATGTTAATTTTAAAACTATGATTTTTTTTGCAAATTAAAATTTTTATTTAATTCTAGTTTAATATATATATATATAACATTTCTATATATATTAATATAAAGTTTGTTTTCTAAATATTATATATAATAATATTTACCATATATGCATATAGCTTCCAAGTTGAGCTTGGGCCCTATCCGCTAAAGCCATCATTGGACTCCAAAAGTTTGATACCCATTTAGATTTCGAATTTGATTATCCCTGATAATGTGTGGGCTTGGTACATATCCCAACTAGACCTAACTCAAAAGAAAATAGTTGCTTGAGCTTGGAAATTTATAGATCTAATCGGGTTATGTTAAACTATAAATGATTTGTTACCTTTTATTATTAATTTCAATTATCTTATCAATACTAGTTTTTAATAGTTGCTAGATAAAACCTAGGGGTGAGCATTCAGTTTATTCGGTTAAAAATCAAACTGAATAAACCGAAACTTTAAAAACTGAACTAAAAAAATAAAAACCAAAACTGAAACCGAATTTTTTGGTTTGGTTTTTTGTTATTTCAGTTAAAACCGAATTTTAATAATATATACTCTATTATATATATTATAACATATAATATATATTATATATTATGAAATCAAATTTAATTATATTATATATTATATATTACATATTATATATTTTTATATACCATATATTACATATAAAAATAGAAAGTTTGGTTAATTTGGTTAACCGAATTTCTAATTCTAAAAACTAAAACCGAAAACTGATTAAACCAAAAATAAAAAAAAAGAAAAACAATCGGAAAAAAAAAACAGAAACCAAAATTTTTGGTTTTGTTTTCAGTTTTAACCAAATGATTCTCACCCCTAATAAAACCTATTAAAATTCAATTATCCTATCAATAATTTATACTTGGGCTTGGTGTAGATCTGAGCTAAACCTAGCTTAGAAAAAAATATTTGTTTGAGCCCAAGGTTGAGCTAAGTTATAAATAATCATCCCTAACTAGAAGGAGTCTTATGACATTATGCAAATGGTTTAATTTTTATTTTTCATAATCTTTTAGTTTTATATTTATTTTAATTATCCTATTAAATTATGTTTCAGTTTTTTTTTAATTTATGAAGTACTAATTATTTTGTATTTATTTCATAAAATTTAATAATTTCTAGATAGAAACTTGCTAAATTCTAATATTTTTATTAACTTTAGTAATTTTATTAATTATAATTGTTAGGCTTCAAATTATATATAGATTGCATGTTATAGGTTTCTAGACGAATGGGGACTGTTTTAATATTGTATATATTAGTAAATAAAATATTTTAATAAACACAGTTAGCTACTTAAAAAATACTATAATTATTATTAATACTGCTAATTATTAAAATATTTTAATAAACCTAGTTAATTATTCAAAAAATACTATAATTATTAAAATACTGAATTTATTGAATATATAGATATTTAATTAAATACTATAAATTAAGTAGTGTTAATTTATAAATACCATAATTAACTAAATACTATTAATTATTAAATAATGTATTTGTTAAAATACTGTTAATTATTAAAAGTACTGTAATAGTTAATTTACTATTAATTAATAAATACGTTATTTTTAATAAACACTGTTGATTAATTAATAAAAACATTATTTATTAATTTAATTATTAATACTGTTTTAATAAAAATTGAATTTATTAAAATACTATTAATTATTAAAAACATTGTATTTGTTAAAATGCTATTAATTATTAAAAATACTATAATTGTTAAAATACTGTTACCTATTAAAATATTGTAATTATTAAATTAATGTATTTATTTAAAATACAGTAATTTTCTGGTATTTATGGCTTAAATTATAATTACTATTAATTACAGTTAAAAAATAATTATTGTTAATTATATTCCTGTTAATAATTAAAATACATTATTTTTTCATTATTATTCAGTATTTTTTGCAATAAATTACAATTAATTAAAATTTTAATTATTTTTAGTATTTTGATTAAGTTTTAGGTTTTTCAAAATTTTCCGATTCTTTATTAATTTTTGGTATTTTTTCATTATTATTCAGTAATTTATACATGAGTATTCTTCAATAATTTTCAGTATTTTCAGCATTTATTTTTGCATACTAGTCACTACAAAATTAATTTGGATTTGCTTTCTGTAAAAATAAACTAAATAAATAAATAAAAACCATAGTTAATAAGAAATACAGTTAATTTTCAATATTTTTGAATACTTTCTCACTTGATTATTTTTAAAAAATTTTGGTATTTTTAATAATAAAATCCTATTAATTGAACTTTTTAATTATTTTTTAGTAAATACTCTTATTAATATAAAATACTGTTAACTTTCAGCATTTTTTTATTACTTTCAGTATTTTAAGTACGTTTAGGTTTTTCAGATTTTTCTGGATTTTTAATTAATTGTGTTAGCGTAGGGGTATTTCTGTCTTTATACCTTGATTGATGTTGCTGATCTGTAATGTTGTGT